TAGGTCAGGTTGCAGGTGGTGAGTAATGCTTCCTGTTGAGGTGTCTGTGACAAGATCTCTCATTGCATGGTCCAAGAAGGAATAATTTTCTCTTCCTCCTCCTCCTCCTTTTTTTTTTTTTTTTGGTTAGGAATCATTTTCTTAAATGTTATGATGTGTGAAAATGTTAGTGGGTAGAAAGAATCCAGGCCTTTGTCTCTTCATGTGCTCCTTAAATGAATTTACTCCCAAATCAGAAGAAAACGGGGCAACTGACTCTGTGCTAATCCAGATAGGTATTTATCAGCCCAAAGAACAAGGCCCTTAAGAAAAGCATGGGGAAGTTCTAATATCTGAGGGAGTAGCAATAGTTTCTTTAATTAGATTTTCTAATTCCCACTCTCCTTTTCCTGTGGTTTACGATCCTCTCCCTTTTTTTAAATTAGTTTATTCCCCATCAACTCTTTCCTCTTCTTGCAATATTAGTTGTTTCTAAGGGAACCTCTTGTCCTTTGCTGAAACCAAAATATCCCCACGTCTCTCATTGAATGAAAATCAGAAATTTTTTTCTTTTAAACTTTATTAATAACTAATAGAAAAATTGCAAAGTAAATTCTGAGCACTAGTTCTTTCTCTCCTTTTCCCTCTTAGTCCCATGAGTTTTTCTTCTTTTATCTGCAGTACTTTTTCTCCTTCAGCCAAAATCTCTGTTGGTAGAAGCACTTGGTAAGAGTCTATCCAAGTTGTAGGTAGTGGACATCTGTTGTTTTTGCTTGCCCAGCACCCCTTCTTCTCTTCTTTAACGCATGCCCATTTTCCTTTGGAGAATTACTTGGCTCCCACTCAATGGGGCGGCAAATTACATGCCCTGCCTCTGTCATGACAGGTGATACAGAGAGAGTTGGCATTTTTGAGGACTGAGAGAAATGCTGGGTTATTCTCCTTCTGTAATTATAGACACGAGGGATTTTTGTGAACATGGGGCCATCTTTGCTGGTGTATGAAGATTAAGAATACAACCAACAGAAAAAAACAGCTGAGAGAGAGTGACAGAGACAGAGACACAGAGAGAGAGAGTGTGACAGATTGAGAGACACACACACACAGAGACAGAAACAGAGAGAGAGACACAGAGAGAGAGGAGATTTTTATGAAGAGAGGTTGTGATTTCTACCCAAAGCAATTTCTGGTACTGCTAAGAGTGCTAATAGGGGGTAAGACTGTGTAGAGGATCTTGAGCCTTCTCCATGTCCTGATCTTACACTATGTTGGTAACAAGTCATATTATAGCTTGCAAAGGCTTGGGAATTATATTTGTTTTGGAAGAACCAGACTAAAGAACAGTTCTGGAAGCTCTACTTAAGGGATTATATTGAGAAAACAACTTCTCTTCCTACCTAAATGAAGCACTTAATTCCAAGAGTCACTACTGGAGTTCACAGATTGACATTTCCTTCCAGTTCCTTGGCCTTGCACTGGAGAATGGTACCTTAAGCCAAGACAAACTTGTGGCATCATTGTTGCAACTTTCTGTTAGGAACAGATCTATGCTCCTAAGTAATCTGGTTACTTAGACAAGTTAGTCTGGTGTCACAGAGTTGAATAAGAACATAATGTAGAACTTCAGACAGTGTTACCATTCATACTTGAGAGGTGGTACAGGATTAAAATTCACATGGGCATCGGAGGGTTAAGCTAGTTCATCAGTTTAATTCATTCATGAATGTTTAGGTTCTAATAGGTTATTATTAACCTTTTAAAGTTGATGTCATTTATAAATTTTCATTTATGTCATAACCCTGGCTGAATGTGTGATTTTCCATGATTTTATATTCTAAAAAATGAAGTTGCTCTTTCCCCATTCCCTCCTCCATTTTTAAATAAAATAGCACTAATAGAATAAGTTAGTGACACAGGAGTACTGATCTGATTTTGTGTGAATTTAGTGGGTAGATATTATAGGGAGGCAGATTTCAGCCTGATATCAGGAAAACTTTCTGGCATTGTCTTATTAACTGGTAACCTATCTCATCCCTGGCAGGATTCAAGTAGTAACTGTCCCTATCACTAGATGATCCCTGCTAAGGATGTTGTAGAAAGGATTTATGCATTGGTGTAGATTCTGGGCAAAAACGACATTTTAGAGCTATTCTATTCTAGCTCTAATAGACTAAATACTACTAGTAGTTATACTAATACTATTAATACTACTTCTACATTTTGCTATTAATAGTAATAATTACCAGTTGTAAGTGTGTATTATACGCTATATACAGTGCTAGACATTTTACATATACATCCCAGGTAAGCCTCGTGTCGACCCTCTGTAGATATTATGCTCACTGGTGTGGATTAAAGACCTAATTGTTCTCTATTTTTTTCTTCATGTGTGTTGTCTTGACCCGTCTAGTGGATTACAAACTCATTCTTAGGAGAGAAGGTAGTGTCATATACTTTGTATTATTCCTTACAGTTGCTGCAAATATGGAAGGGTGGAACAGATGCAGCTTAAAAGTTGTGTGCTCAGTTCTGTTGTGCACGTCACCCTGACAGGTTTTCACTTGATCTTAGCCAAAAGGCCGAGAAGCGATACACTGACAGGTTTTTCAGAAGAGTCCTGAAGCTTTTTTCCTTGAGTCAAACTTCCCAAGTGGTACGTACATACATTGGAATGGTTCCTGCAGAACTCTGAGATCATTCTTACTGAATGTTTTACAAAGGGAAAGGGAAAGAAGTAGAAGTTGGGAAGAGAAGGAACAATATCCAACCTGTAATCACCTCTTCTTCTCCACCAGGACAAAAATTCCCTTACTTGCTTGAACAGTGTTCATTTCAGTATTTTGGCCGGGCAGGGGAGGAAATTTAATTATGCCTGTGAATGACAAATCACTGCATTAAAATTATTGTTTTAACTCACTGGAATCAATTGCTCATATTATTTTGCTGTCCTACAGATCTCACTGTTAATGTCAATGGAATGATGACAGTGTCGAGATGTTTCGCCCACTGAAATGTGATAAGATGTTTATGGTTTGACATATTGAAAACAATATTTGTTATATAAATGCCAGGCTTGATCACTCTTTTGGTCATTTACAGCAATGAAAAAAGAGTAACATGCTGGAACCCTATATGTCACATGGCCTACATAAGAGGTATTTTATGGTTGCCTATACCATCATTACGATCAGTCAGCTTTCTATAGAATCATATTTTTTATTATGGCTATTTGCAAGCAATCATTGGTATATTTACCATTTTCCAGATTTTAATATAATTGTAACTCAGGGAATTTGAAATCAATAAAGTTTTAGATGGGATATGCCAATTGGATAATGAAAGTGATTTGGAAGCACAGATACTCTGTGGGGGATATCATCTTTGTTGAGTAATGTGAAGGCTCAGAGTTCTGCTTCTGGCAGGTGTAAATCAAGTTTGGGCCCTAAAGAAGGGGCCTGTGGCTTATGGGGAATATTAGCAGGGAGGCTGCTTTTTAATCCATGGATTAATACTAGTAGATTCTATTTGAGGATCAGATCTGTGCTCATGCAGGTTGGGGAATGGTATTCATTCTTCCTTCCACACACCTAGGATGAAATGCTAGTGTTAAAAGGGAACTCAGTGGTCAACTGGCCTCACATTCTAATCCTACAGTCAAAGAAGTCAAGAGACTAATCAAGAAGCAGAAGTCATCTGTCACCATGTCTTGAATGACATCTTTGACTTCTAGTTCAGTGGTCTTTCTTCTTTACCCGTCACTCCTATAATTCTTTCTAAACCTTAGCCTTCCTTGGTCTTTTCTAAAATACCCCAAAGCCATGGAAATGGTTACATTAGGAGCAGCTACAAATTGGGTATTTTCTCAGCTCTCTGCTATCTTAGTTTCTGTGTAACCTTGGTGAAGTTACTTAACATCTCTAGGCTTCAACATTCTCCTCTATAGAATGGGAAAATAATAGTGCTTCCTCCAATAGGGTTATAATAAAGATTAAGTTATTTAACATATGCAGTGTATTTAAAACATTATTATTAATCCCAGTTTATTTGTCTTTAATAATGAGCATTTAATTGTGTATACATTTAAATTACTTAAAGGGCTGTTTTTTATGGGAATTCAGAAAGACACTGAATTAATGTTAATTTTTTTTTGGTGTAATTATTTTAAGATTCCTTAAATCTTATCTGAAACATCAATTGGGAATTTTTAATTATAAGTCTGAAAAAAAATAATTCATCTTTGGATTACTTGAAGGGAAGCTCAAGGAACATTAAAGATTATAAATTTTCAGCTCCATAGTCACAAAGATTTTCCTATCATCTTCGGAATTATGTTTTTCAGTTAGGGTAGGAATCGAGTTTTCCATCATATTTTCAAGCAATATTCCTAATATTGTTTGAAAGTTGTGTGTGTTTGGGTGTTAAAGGAACTTTCTTTATAATCTCTTTAAATACCTTTAATGATAGTGAATTCTACATTTTTGGACGACCATGGTCTTGTCAGCTTAGAATGCAAGAGGTATTCAAATCTTGCTGATGTAATGGATTTTGTGTTTTAAAATTTTAATTACACATTTGAAGCCCCAATTGCACTGTAAGGATTTAAGTGCTTATGGAAACTCAAACTATGAATTACAGTATTGCAGGAAACTTTCCACTTCATCAGATTAGTTTCACCATGCATTCCACAAATATGTTTTGTAAAATTTCCCAATATCTAGAAAACTTTGATACTATGTTATAAAAGGGTACTTAAATATAGATGAGAAAGATAAATGTTTGTCTTCTCCTTTTGATAGTGATGTTAAATAAAAGATGGAATGTTTTTGTTTAAAACCAATCCCTCATTCTGCACCCACCTCCCCCCACCCCTGCAACACAATAAGTAAAGGGCAATGTGAACAAAGTCTTCCTTTAGATCTGTTATTCATTTTAAGTGTGTGTTAGGAAAAAGGTCTACTCTGAGTATAAAATCTAGCAACAAAAAAGAGAATTGTAAATAGAAAAATAAAACATGTAGAGGAGACAAATATTCTCTGCACACAGAATTAAAATCCCAATGGGGAACACTTGTCAGAAAGAGAGACTACACACTCATTTAAAAATAAGTTCCCAAAGAGTAACATTCCAATATGTTAATTTGCCACAATAGATTTATCCATTGAAATCAGTCCACCAGTCTTGACCAGCAAGTAGGATCTGAATTTTACCATCTAACAGTTCAATTGAAATAGAATAAAGATTTTCACATCAATATCTTAGTGACATAGACTTTCCTGGTTGGCAATGGTACATTGACTCAACGTTCAGTCAATTTACAGGTAATGAAACTCTTTGTTAAGTGTTATCTCCTCACACAGTAGCAGGGTCTTTAACGGAAAAGGGTTCTGTTCATTTTCTATTTAAATCACAGGAAGAGATTATAGAATTGGATAATGAAAACAGCTTATTTTTTGGAAATCAGTTAAAAAATCTGAAGTTATGAATAGAAAATAATAAAAGAGAAATAACTGTCTGGATTTCCCCCCTTCTTTACAGTGATATGGTAGAAATATAAGGAAAATGCTTAACATCCTTTAGTTAGGAAATCTGGTCCCTTTACTTGCTTACAGGGCTCAGTTTTGAGTAAGAAAAGAAAGAATATTTTTGGCTGCAGCTTTAGTAAACAATGAATGATGAAAAATATTGCAGAAACGTCTTCAAGAGATTGGACAATTGAGAACACAGACTTTATCACTTTGATATTGTCTACATTCCTCCACAAAGCTTGGCAAATAAATAACTGAGCCCTATTTTGGCGGAACGAGACAAGGAAGTACTAGTTCCAGCATCAAAACAAGATTATGAAAACAACCAACACAAAACAGTTATTTCTTCTCCTGAATAATAAAGACATCATGTTTGCATATAGAACAGCTTTTGCATTATTGCTCTATGTATAAGAATATATTGAGGAACTCATAACAGACTGCACATTACAAACTTAAGGTTCTTTGGTGAAGAATGAAAGAAAACAGTATTTGAGCTTTAAAGAAAATGATCTCATCCATTTTGCTTTTATCTATTGATCCGTTGGATCCTCTCACAGAGCAGGGAGAGGTACTGTGTGAGTTTCACCATGGCAACGATCACCACACCCCCAGCCATCATACACGTTGGCCAGAACAGTGAATGGAACAGCACGTTGGAACTGTAGAGTTTGGTTAGGATGACACTCTTCTGGTTTCCTTCTGGGTCAGAATAGCAGGAGAAGTGTTGATACTTCCTGAAGTTTTCCATGACAACATTCACCAGGGACATGGATTCTTCAAAATTTTTTCCACACTTAGGTATATAGGAGCACTGTGGAAAATGAGATAAACTGTCACCAGAAGATACTTTCTTTGTGCATATCTGATACTAGGAGGAGATGGGATATTGAGGTCAACTTAATGATCTGTGAAATAACCATGATGGTTATTCTTTTCATATTCAAACCAGTGTCTCCAGAAACCCCAAGACCTCACATAGTAATAAAAACAATGTCTGTAGCTGTCTGACCCAGATGTACCTAAATAGTTCACTCATGTATAGTTTAATTGTTGATTAGAATTGGATGACTCCAGTGGATTCTTTTTACCGTAGCTGAGCATGGTGAGTTTTAATTATTCCCTATTGAACCTACTTTAACATGGAATCAGAGTGTCAATCTTTCTGTCTTCTATCTATCCACAGCAGTCCATGTAATATCAGAAGCTACCAGGTCTCTCAGGGAAAGTAGTTTATTCTTCTCTTTTTGGCTTGGCTTAATTTATTCAGCCAAGTCAGCTTGGTCACCTTGCTACTGTAGTGAAGGAAACAGCTATACCTCTGGTGAGTTGCTGAAAAAGAATCCTGGAAAGTATAGAAATATTGAATAGTTAAAGAGCTGTGATGAATTGTTGGTGCCCAGTTCCGTGGCAAGGTAACTTTTTCCATAAATCATGGAAAAATAAAACAGAACCAAATGAGTTTACTTTTCAACCATCACTCATCTGAAAATTTACACTATCTTTTCTTTGATCTTTTCCCTCTCTTATCTTTCTTGTTATAGGTCTTCTACATGTCTCTCCTTTCTTCCTACATACTTATGTCCTTGGATTTCTTTCTTTGTATCTCATTTCCTTCCTTGCCCTGCCCTGACTCCTCACCTCACTTTATATTTTCCCCTCTGTTCCCTCTTCCTATCCTTTCTCCTTCCCCTGCCCTCTCTTTTCTAGATACAGATGGAATTAAAGAACTTTGAATTTTTATTATTTATTGCATATACTTTTAAAAATTTTTATTTATTTATTTACATATTTGTTTCAGGGGTACAGGTCTGTGATTCAACAGTCTTACACAATTCACAGCACTCACCATAGCACATACCCTCCCCAATGTCCATCACCAGCCACCCCATCCCTCCCACCCCCCTCCACTCCAGCAACCCTCGGTTTGTTTCCTGAGATTAAGAGTCTCTTATGGTTTGTCTCCCTTTCTGGTTTTGTAGGGGAAGGGAGGGAAAAATGCATATACTTTTGAACACATTTTTTTCCTAATTTAAAAAGCAGTCTTTAAGTAGATGAAATCTCTATGACCCTTTTTCCTTGGTCTGTAAAAGGGCAGTGATAAAACTGATTTTTTAAAAAAGTTAGGAAGAAAGTGATTTAAGTCACTTTTCAGGGAGATGTGTGAGTCCTAAGCTAACTCTTACCTCTCTTTATAATTGCCTCCCAACAGGAAAAAAAAAAAAAATCCCTGCCCATTATTATACACATTATCAAATGGTTAATTTAACTGATTTATCTGAATTGGTTTGTGACAAAATCACAGCTAATCTAATGTCTTGGTATAAATTAGAAAACTATGTGCCCTCTTTAGAACACTATTATTTTCTGTTGAAAATTGTTGTAATACACTGATTTTATGAAAAAAACCCACATATTTTTACTGCTTTACCAATTTATAAGTCCTGCTTACAAATATTCATATCTATGACTTTTACCATGTGACTGGTACCCCAAAGGTTGTGCAGTGCACAACTCCCACACTGTATGTGGAGACACAAATGAGGTGGACTAATGTTGAACTTTGAGGTACATTGATGGAAGCTTTGGGGGTAGGATCCTGGAAGACCTGTAGATTTCACAGGTAGAAAATATAAAAGAAATGGAATGAGTTTTGCTAATGGAGTATGTTTGGATTACTCTTTTCTCTGACTTTATTAGTGGGCACACAGGCACCGAGCTTTGTTTATAGTGCTGTAATCATTGGATTCTTTGACTTTAAACAGCAGGAAGATTCTTCCTTAGTTAAGAATGGAGGTTGAGCATGCTGGCATTTATGGTAAACCAGGCTTAAAGTAATGTTCTCATAGCAGGGCTGGTTGACACCTTCAAATTTAATCAGCTAAGAATAAATGTGAGTACACTCATAAATATGAGTACAGCAGAGAGCTGGTGCTAGCACAATATTAAGGGTCTGAAATTATTTCCAAAAAAGCAGAATTTCTCAGTGAGTTACAACCTAGTATAAAATTAGCCTATGACTCCATGAAACAAATTTTCTACCAGTTGGTTGTCTTTGGATCAAAAGGGTTTAAGGCAGGATGGAGATCTCTACCTTGATTATTTTTTTCCTTCTTCAAAGCTGCCTCATGTCTTTACAGTTTTTAAAAATGTTTTCTGAAGCAAAGCATTAAAAAAAAAATCACAGACAAGCCATTTGTGGTTGAATTTGAACAGAACCAATTTAGATTACAAATGCTCAGGCTTCTGCATATTTTTGTGCCAAGACAGTTTATAGTAGTAGTTCCCATGGCTAACAGTACTAAGTTATTGAAATGATCTCAATAAAAATGGCATTCCATTAAAAATGGAGTTTTTTCTTTTCTTATGCTCTTGTGAATTGGTCTGGCTTTTAAAATTTTTTCTTTTTTGAAGAAATGTTTGTCAGTCAAATGACAATAATGCTGTCACTAGGTAAGATTCTTCCAAGTACAATGAGATATAAAGTACTTTTGAGACCGTCTAGCAAGGTTGCCGTACAGATTTAATACTGCTTATTAAAAGTTTCAGGCTTCAGGGTCTCAAATATGTATATTTGGAATGGCCAGATAAAGCCTGTTCCGTACATGATCAGACTGACTCTACCATATGTCAATCATTCATTTACTTTTATTATTGATGGGTTCTTCTCTTGTCATTACGAATGCATGAGATAGTAGAATAAGCCCAAGTTGTGTTATGTAGATCTGGTTACTATGTTTCTGTAGGCAATTTACTTTGCTCCTCAGAATCAACTTCTTTATCTACATAAAGGGGTTAACAGAGCCTTCCAGGCAGGGTTTGTGTGAAGATTAAATGATGACTATGCATAAAGCCTCAATAAATTTTCACTTACATATTTCCTTATTGGAGTATCACATTGTCCATATGATCTTCTAAAGCCTTTGACCAAGTGTCACATATGAAACTCTGAAACCTCTAAGGAGGGCAAAATTATTAGTTATGTGGTGTTCACAGGGACAGTCCTGTTCAATGGCTCTTATCTTATGTTCCTAGCTTTTGTGTCCCGGGAGATTTGACATTTTGCTGAATCCTATACTAGGATTCTAGGTTTCTTTTTCTATGGCTCAAACTATAGCCATGTGTATGTTCTTGAGGCTGGTATGAATTTGGGGTGAAGATTTAATGATCTCATGATTTTATCACATGCTTGGCAGATAATTTTATGTGATTGGTTTAGAATACACAGAATGCATTTCAACAAATGGAAACTTTACTATCCATGCTTACTTGGAAAATGTAATGTAGACTGAAAGATAAAAATCCCAGCATTTTAGATCATCCTTTTTTTTAGTGGGAGGTGTGGGATAGGAAAGATTTAACTTTTAGATTCTGTGTGATATATAACATAAAGGAACATATGAGTAATCATTTTATATACACAAGACACTTAAGTACTAATCAAAGTATGTTAATATATACATATTTTTTTCCATGGGCTTGGGTTATTCTTTCTTTTGTGCTTTAACATATGGAAATAGAAACCTTGCAAACCTCTGAGGCAGCCATTCAGTGGAAGATTTAGTTTCACATCTCTCTTCTTAATCCAGAGTTTTGTTAATAAACCTTATTGCTTTCCCAGATCCCTTACATTCTCCTTAGTATTAAAAACCATAGAGCTGGCCCACAGGTATGACCTTTCCTCTCCCAGCTGAAGAAACCCGGCTCATGGCAACTTCTTTTGTTCCCCTCCAGGGCAATGAAGGTCCAGCAATTGCATCTTTTCTACAATTCTTTGAAAAACTGACTGAAACTTTTCTTTTCTTAGTCTAACTTCCAGAATCTTACACGTGAATAGAGTTATTTTTATTCTGATGATGGAGAGAAGTTTTGAGAAACTACCTGTTGGGCTTCGCTTAGATATGCTTTGCTGGGCATGTGAAGCAAATAGTGACAGGCTTTCACCCTACAAATAAAAGATGTGTGAAGTGGGGGCAGGGGAATGGGGATGGTTTGGCTGAATAACCTCATGGGTCAGCCTCTTTTTTTTTTATGATGGTAGAAAAGGAACTATCAATTCTCAGCATCATCTCAAGGGAAGGGTTTGTTTTTCACTTGTTCTTTTATAAAAAGAGAAGGGGTTTATTTTCAGAGAGGGGATAGAAATTTAATGAAATCTAATCAATTTTGAGTGTCTCTAATGTGCCAGGTAGCATACTAGAGAGAGCCGTCAAAAACAGAAACAATACAAGACAGATCATTAGAAAGAAACAGGAAGGTATTACAAAACAAGGATAGGGTGACACAATGGAACCAGGAGTGAAGTTAAAAAGGTTTTGAGTGAAGATATACCCTTCGCAGAGGTGGGCTCAGAACTTGTTAGTAGCCTGGGCATCCTACGACCACCATGACCATGGGGTAAAAACAAAAAGATTGCTCATGTGAAACAGACATATTCTTGGTTCTAAAGTCAGATGGACCTCGTTCTAGTGTAGAGATCAGCAGCTGGAAGCGTTGGGTTACTCTGGTCCCCATGTATATTTTGAACTTTCAAGTTTTTTTTTTTTTTTTTTTTTTTGGTATCAGTAATGGGCAGAAGAGGTGAGAGAGTAAATTCAGATGTTCCTTTCTTTCCCTTTTGAGACTTCTTGTTCCTTATCATCCCTTCTAAAACAGTGAATCCCACAAAATTCGGTTTAGATTTGTTTAGTTTGCACTTCTAGTGTCTGTTTGACTTTGGCAAGTGGGACTCTGAAATGTTTGGGAGAGGAAAACAGAATTCACACTCTGCTATGCACTAACATTTCTTTCAGTATTGAGACACAGATCCCTCCC